AGCAGATAGCTGCAAGTTTCTTTAATGACCTTTACTCCGAATAATGCAAAAAGGTCAGGTTTTTAAAGTATATGGTAGATTCTCGGCTCTCACCCCGAACATGTTCAACATCTTGAGTACCCTTATCACCAGAGACGACATTCGCGCTACACTTTTTGACATGAAGCCTCTCAAGGCCCTAGGTCCAAATGGCCTTCATGTGGCCTTCTTTTAATACCATTGGGATGTTGTGGGGTATTCAGTGTGCGAGATGGTTAGGAAAGCCTTTCAGGGGAGGAGCTGGAGAAAGACATCAATAGAACTTTAACTACTTTAATTCCCAAAGTGGCCAGATCTATGAATATTAGTAAATTCTACCTCATTAGCCTACTTAAAATTTGTATAAAATCATCACTAAGGTAATGCATTACTAACAAGCTTAAAAGTATAATGTCAAGTTTAATCAACGATACTCAAGTGAGTTTCGTGAAGGGACAGAATATCTTAGACAATATTATTATAGCCTAAGACGTTGTTCATTTGATGAAGCGCAAAAAAGGTATGGAAGGTTGGATGACTATCAAAGTGGATCTTAAAAAAACTTATAATAGACTTAGCTGAGACTTCATTAAAGATATTCTTTGGGATGCTGGTTTCGCACAGCCTTATCAAAACTGTTATGTACTGTATCAGCTCTTGCTTCATGTAGATCATGTAGAATAAGGAGCTTACTAATGAGTTTACCACTTCGAGAGGCATTCGCCAAGGGGATCCCCTCTCTCCTTACATCTTTGTCTTATAAATTAAGCGCTTCTCCCATTACATTGACCATTTGGTTAACCAAGATAAATGATAACCCATATCTCTAAGTAAGAGATGCCCTTAAGTTATCACACATTTTTTTCACTAACGACTTGATCCTCTTTAGCAAGACTTCGGATAATTAGGTATAGCTCATTAAGAAGGTGCTTAAGGACTTCTGTGATAGCTCTAAACATAAAATCAGCACTATGAAGACCTGAGTCTTCTTCTCTCACAATGTGGTCGCCATTGAGGCCAGCAGAATTAGTGCACACATTGGGTTTCAAGTCTCCCAGAATCTTGGCATGTATTTGGGCGTCCCCCTTATCCCTGATAGAATTACCACGGATACTTACAGGTATATTTTGGAGAAAGTGGGGGACACGTTTTCTAGTTGGAAAGCTAGTAGCCTTTTTATGGCTGGTTGATTAACTTTGGCCAAATCGGTC